ATGAGTTATTAATATTAAAAATAATTTTTAAAGCAACAAAGAAAAAGTTAATATGATAAAGATGTAAAGATGTAAATGCCTTTAACTGCTCCATATGATTTCCTTCTAATTATCTTAATGGAAGCAAATTGCCAGGTCTTTCTCCTACAGTGCCACTAGGTATATTAAAAATACCAATATTCAGGTTATTTATTGTTTCTAGTCAATTTCAACTCATAGAGCCCTCATAAGACAGAGAAGAACTGGCCCAGAGCATTTCCTAGAAGCTCTGGTAGTGGTTCAGGCTGCTAACCTCAAGGTCAGATTCGAAACTACCAGCTGTTCCAAGGGAGAAAGATGAGGCCTTCTGCTCCAGTAAAGATTTACTACCTCAGAAACCCTATGCAGGGTCACTATGAGTTGGAACCAACTCCACAGCACATGACCACCAATCTTTATGGTACTAGATTACTGGGTCTTTTTTCTCCCTTGGTGGGTTGAAATGCCAACCTTGGATTTGCAGCCAAGTGCTTAACCATTGCCACCAGCGTTCCTTTTTGGTTAAGTAGTCAAGTACTAATGTGTACCACCCAGGTACTGTTGTAGACCAAACAACTACAACAATAAAAACAAACACTGCGTCAAGTCCATTCTAACTCATGGCATTTCCAAGGCTGTAAATCTTTAGGGAAACCAACTGCCACATCTCTGTTTCATACAGTAGCTACTTGGTTCAAACCACTAAGATTTTGGTTAGCAGTTGAGCACTTTAATCACTGTGTCACCAGGCATTAAACACACTGCCATCTAGTTTATTTTCACTCATACTGACCCTGTATAAAGTTTTTGAGCCTCTAAGTATTTATGGGAGCAGAAAGCTTCATCTTACTCCCATAAATTGGTTGGTAGATTTGAACTATCAACTCTACAGTTGGCAGTCCAATGTCTAACCCACAGTGCCACCAGAGCTCCTTTGATGTAAAGTAGGGCCTCCAAAAATGGAAGTGAGGTCTTGAAAGCCCTGCTGTTGTGTATGTGTTTACTGTTGGGGAGAAGCTTCCAGGGGAATCTGTTTATTTTTAGTTTTGGGGTTTTTTTTCCCCTTCAATATCCAACTTCCTCTAATTTAAACACAGAAATGATCTCTTGGTCTAGATTATACTTTGTTAGGAAACAAACAAAATGCAGTGAAGTTCCAAATTTCAAGGTTTCAGGGAACTCTAAAAATGACTGGTGATATTATTATTCCCAAAAACAGTTGTGTAAGGTGAAAAGTATTCTCATCAAAAACTCATCAAACTGCAATAGATAATGGATGCGATGAAGAAAAAAAATCTAAGGAAACGAAGTTGAGTATTAAAAATAAATTGTTGAATCAATGACCTTTTCTACAGCCTTTACTTGATGTCTCTTTGATGGTAATAAGCAACATGCCATAGTTTACAAGATGCTTCCATATGTACTGTCTCTGCGTGATCACCACCCTTCTTGAAGCTGAGAATGATATAATAATATGATCCAATATTTTTAGTGTTATAATAAAGTGGGTAATATTCTAAGCCCATGAAACTCATGGCATCCCTGAGATAAAGCAATATTTATTTGTTCAGGGGTAGACTTCTTGGCGTCCATGCAGATGACCCAGCTTCTTAGCTCATGCACCTCATGGCTTGTGTGTTACTATGATGCAGAAAAGTTCTGAGGGAGTTTGCTCTTTTATGAGTGATGAAGTCTTGCTTTCCTCACTTCTAAGGAGTACTCTGGTTGCACTTCTTTCAAGACTGATTTGTTTATTCTTCTGGAAGCCCGTGATACTTTAAATTTTCTTCCTTGTAGGGACAAAAGCTGAACACTCCAAAACAGCTACACTAATATCAACCCAGGAAAAATACTTTGCCGTTTTTTTCTCTCTCACTACGCCTCTAACATATACCTCTGACCCTGCATACTGAAACTCTGTGTTCCTATGGATTTGCTGCTAATACACTGGACTGAAAAGTCAGTTTGAACCACAAGGTTGGCAGTTCAGGTTCACCAGCTGCTCCTTAGAAACCCTCTATAGGGTTGCTATACTCCACAGCACTTAAGAACAACAACATACTAGGAAGTAATAGGCAGCTAGTGCCCGCTGTTTTTCTCCAAGTCTCAGATGGAGATAGGACTAACCTTATATCACCTCCCTCCCTTCTTTCTGGAATATTAATTTTATTTACCACATAGTATAAAAGTGACAATCAAGATCCTTCCCTCCCTGCAGCTCCCCCTTCTCCGGCCCCCCGTCCAGCCATGGAAGAAGCTTGACTGTCCAACCGCCCTCCACTGGAAACAGCTGCTATTCTCTTCCTAGTCAGTAAGCTGTCCCGACTGTAAACCACCTTAGTTTTCCTGTAAAAACTGATGTTTCTCAAACTGACTTCTGGTCACTTTTTTTTTGGCTCTCGGCAACCACATAAGCACAAAGATTCTCCCTTCTGGGTTTAAACCCACATATTCTACTACATCATGACTGACATGTGTTGGTTCTTCTACAGTTCTCCTTATTTATTGTCCAACTTTCACATGCAATTGAAAAAATTATCATGGCACACCTTTGCCCTTCAAGACTTTAAGGAGGTTTTTTTTGCAGCCGATTTGCCCAATGAAATCCATCGTTTGGTTTCTTGACTACTGCTTTCATGAGTGTTGATTGTGGATCCAAGAAAAATAAAGTCTTTGACAAATTAAATCCTGTCTCCATTTATCATGATGTTGTTATTGTTGTTGTCAGGTGCCATCGAGTCGGAACCGACTCATAGCGACCCCATGCACAGCAGAATAAAACAATGTCTGATCCTGGGCCAACCTCACTACTGCTGCCACACTTGACGCCATCAATGATGACACCTGGCCAATCCATCTCGTTAGGGGTCTTCCCCTTTTTCTCTGACCCTCCACCTTACCCAGCATGACATCCTTCTCCAGCGACTGTTCCCTCCGGACAATATGTCCAAAGTATGAGAGACGAAGCTTATTTTATTGAACATTTTATGTCCGTACTCATGACACTAAAAGCATAGGAAAATTTTCAGAAAAAAAAGTCTTAGAAAGCAATGTAAATGCTACATTCTCCAACTGATATTTTATTTTCTTGATTTATTTTGTAGGTTTAAAATCAACAATTAACAATTAAGCCAAAAAAATCATTTAAAAAATATTGTTCAATTTAAAGTAAATATCTTTTGTTCCATTACAGTGAAAACTTGTGCTGCTCAGGGATTCCCTAATTGAAACAAATGGTTTGTGCCTGTTTACTAACTGAAAGGTTGGCAGTTCAAAGGGGATGCTGAAAACAGCCTAAGGATCACCTTCAGAAAGAAGGTGAGGAAAAACTGCACTTCGCAAATATTTACAGCTCACCTTTCAGTGATTCAGAAAAAAACAAAAGAAGGTGGTTTAGTGTCTTCATCGAGTTGGTAGGCACATGAAATGACAACTCATAAACACAGGTTCCATTGGTTGACAACCACGGTGCAATCCTGGCTCATTTAGAAGCTAGATTCCATGCTGGAATATGTGTGTCCTATTTGACCCCTGCCATTGCAGTCTGGAAGTGACATGGAAGTTGGCTCAAGCAACCCCAAATCCTTAAGGACTCACTGGAGAAAGGAAGAGAGTGATAGATTCAGTCTGTCTGGAGCCATTTGTATAACCAGAAGGTCTTCAGAATGGTAACACGGAAAGGATGAGGACAAAGCATGTGCTCTTATAGACTTTACAATATCTTATTAGGATCCCTGGTGGCACGGTGGTTAAAGCCCTGGATGTTCATCAAAAGGATGGCAGTTGGAACCCACCAGGCTCTCTGAGGGAGCCAGAAGTGGCAGTCAGCTTGTATAAATATTCAAAACCTTGGAAACTCTATGGGGCCAGTTCTTCTCTGTTCTCTCTAAGGGTGCTAGGAGTCAGAAGCCACTCAAAGGTCAGGGGTTTGTTTGATTTGTCCTTTATCTTAAGAAGACCTGGTGGCACAGTGAGAAAGTGCTTGGCTGCTATCCAAAAGGTGGCTGGTTTGATCCCACCAGCTGCTCAGAGGCCCAGGAAGGCAGGATTACAGAGGGGCTTCAGGACACTCCTGGGCGGTGGGGAGCAGGAAGTGCGAGGATGTGATCACACTTTTGATTTGGGTTATGGTTTGATATGTGTATCCAAAGGACAAAACATATCTTGTTGTATGCTGTAACATGTGTTGTTTATTGTATGTCAATTATGTGTATGTCAGTAAAGATGTCTATAAAATTATATTCAAAGCAGGAAATTACAACTTTGGAAGAGATTTTGGAGGGGAGTGGTTATCGCCACCACACTGGTTTTTATGTAGTTTTGCTTTGGTATCACAACTCAGTGTGACTAAAGCTCCTTCAGTTGCCTGCTCTGGGGGAGACCACACCCACTGCCCCCACCTTTGGTAAGTCATCCCCCATATTTATGAGCAGGAAAGTGTTCAGTGTTAGGTTTGTGGCCTCCAACACTCTTACTTCAGAGCCCAGGCTTTATATATCGCCTGCCCCTTTGACATCAGTGGCCCTTTAGTTGCTTACAGCACTGGGTGGGAGCCAGCAGATTGAGGCCTGGAGACACTAACAGATTGAGGCCTGGAGACAATTACTTGGAGTACCTTTTGAGTGGGGTACCTCACACACACCACTCCTCTCGCCATCTCAGTTTCCTCCCACACACCCAGGCAGAAACCAAACCCTTTTCTTCCTCGCCCGTGAGTTAAAGATACATTTTGTCTTCCGTGGCCAGTCCTCGCCGCCGCCCCGTCTTCTCATCGTACTTCAGTTCCTGTCTGGATGACTGTAGACCTAAGGTCTGTCCCCCATCCCAGCAGGAACAACCCCCACCCTCTTCTTCCTCACACACCTGCCTGCCTCTTCCCTTCCCACTATCAGTGAACTCACAAACACACACGCAAATTAACTTTTCACAAGTTGTTTTATTTGAATCGTCACCATTGGTGTGTCTGTTTGAAAATTCACTTTCTAATCCTCTGCTTGCTGAGACCCCAGGGAATCGCATGAGGTGGTGGACCTCGCCAGGGACTCTTTGTCATGGTCAGAATTACTCGAGGCTATCGAACTCTCGAGGGATTCTTGACCCTGGGCATTACATGAGTTCAGGGAACTCACCGGGGTCTCTTGGTCCATGGCACTGCTTGAGGTGGTACACACCTCCATGGACTCTTGGTCTGGGGTCTCTTGGTCTGCACACGAATAATTTTCCTCCACTTTCTTATGAAATTTTCCATAATGGCCAAATTGGACTTGCCCCTTAGCCTTCCTAGGCATGTTTGAACAGGATGAAGCTTTGGTCTTCATACTCGACTGACGGGATCTCTTCACCACCGTGATTGTTTTTGGCACCTGAAAAGACAACAGGGTGCACAGAAGGCATTGGTCTGGGGGAAGGGGATGGTGGATAGACGGGAAGGGGCACTTTATGGGAGGAACTATGGGCCAAGAACTGTTTTTTGCCAGGGAAGGACAGGGAAGGAGTCTTGGAGGGATCAACAGGGAAGAAAAGGATGAGCTTGGTTGGGCTTGGCTTACCCTAATATAGTCGCCTGATTTGGGATCCCCAGCGGCCTTCCTCTTCCTCCCTGCAGTGCTTTTGGTTGGTTCTGCATCATCTGTGGTTGAAGCCTGTGGCTTCTTAGCCATCTTCACAGTGTTGAAGCCTTTTTCAGTGGTTCACTTCAGGGCTCCTGACTCCGTATGAGCAGTTTACTCAGACAATTAAATAGCCACACCCTTAAGCTTTGTTTGGTCATCAAGGCACTGCCCAGCCAATGAGAGTCCGGGGAGGTGTGACGTCACAAACCACACCCAGAGACACCTCTGTTGGGGAGAGGACACTGGAGAGGCCAAGAGAAGACTTTATTAGACGTCATAAAGTACATTCTGACACCTCTGTGGTGGGTGGGAGGAGGTATGCTGAGGATGCAAAGATACTTTGGTTGGAGAAAGAAAGCATTTCTTTAGCACGCTAAAGAGTCATCCTAACTGACCTCCTGCCCCCCTCCTCATGTTCAGTTGTGCTTCCTCTAAGTCGTTCCCCATATCACCACCCGTTCAGTGGTTCATTCTGTTGTTCCCCACTCTTCAACATCAACTAAAATCCCTCCAATATGTTATGGTCAAATTTAAGTCATGGTGTAAAGAGACAGCATCCTACAAACAGACGTAGAAAGCATGCGCCAAGTTTTGCTCACCCATTCCTCTTTTGAGGAACATCTCTGTTAGTATTGGGTTGCTAACTGAAAGGTGATAGTTCAAACCCACCAGCTGCTTCTCAGGAGAATGATGAGGCAGTCCTCTGTAGGAATTACAGCCTATGGAGCAGTTTTAGTTTGTCCTATATGGTTGGTAGGAGCCAGAATAGCCTTGATGGCAGTGGTTGCTTTGGTACTTGTTAGCTCTACACCCCACTGCCACAAAGGGAATTGGAATACTATCCTCAACTGTTCAGCCATCAGGACTTCTGCCTATGCTCATATATCTCTGGTGAGATATTCAGGAAAAGAATTGCTGGACCATTGTTGTTGTTAAGTGCCATCAAGTTGGTTCTGAATCATAGTGACCCTGTATAGGGTTTCCAAAGAGCAGCTGGTGGGTTTGAACTGCCAACCTTGTGGTTCACAGTCTAGTGATGATCCTACACCACCACACAGTCCTAAGTACACATTATTTTGACCTTAATCCCAATTTCTTGATAATCACACTCTTGTGTATTTCCTCCTTGTAAGTGTGGATTTTATGTTTACCCAGTGTCTTGTTCTTATGAATAGAACCCAGCAAAAGAGAAGGGATGTAATTAATGTGGATAGGTAACAAAAGACTGTGACTTCCATCTTACTAGAAATCACTTTCTTGCTGACACTCTCTCCTCTTGATTTGTCATTGTGAGATACTCAGTGAAGAGGCCCACGTGACAATGGACAGCTCATAAAGAACTTTGCCCTCAGAGCAAAATTGCAAGGAACTCAACCCTACCAGCCACCTTGTGAGTGAACTAGGAAGTGGAGTCTTCTCAGTTGAAACTTAAGATGATGTAGCCTTCTAAAAGATCAAAATCCTGGGGAACCAGGATACACCCAGATGTTTGACCCCTAACTACATTGAGACAATAAATGCTGGTGTTTTAAGCTAATAAGTTTTGAGGTAATTTGTGAAACAGCAACAGATAACGAATACATTTGTATTACCCAACTTTCTGAGTATGGTAAATCTGGTAATAAATACAATCTCATCATTGGCTCAATTCTGTGTTTATTAGTGAGGTAATAGTAATAAAATTCAATATCTCATTCAGATTTTCAAGTCTTTAAATTGGTTTTTGAGTATGAATTATGTTTATCACTTTTCTAGTGGATTTCATGTCATGTTTATGTCACTCATCCCTTTTATTATATTGATACCAGTTTCTTGTTAGGAGTCCTGGTGTGGCACTGTAGGATAAGCCACAAGGTTGGTTTGAACTGCAAGGTCAGTGATTTAACTCACCAGCCACTCCTCAGAAACCCTATACTGGGTCACTATGAGTCACAGCTGACTCCATGACGTTTACCAACAGCAGCAACAACAATTTCTTGTGGTTTTTTTGGGGGGGGATTTAAAAATTCTACTTTTTATTTTTATTTTTATTGTGAATTATGTGGGTTTACACGGGAGAACAACAGTTTTACATTCATCCGATCGTAGTCCCAAAGGTTACACTCCACAGCTCCCCCCACCACCACCCCCAGGCCATCAGCACGTAGTCCCTTCTCTCTCCCTGAGTCCAAGGTCCTCAACCGCTCCATCTGTCCAAGTCATCATCTCTGTCTCCATCCCTGGCGTCACTGCTCTTCTCACTTGATGGTTCAAGGGACCCTCTGCTTCCGGGCTGCAAAATCAACCACTCCCTCCTTTTGTAAAAAAAAAAAAAAACAAACTCTACCTCTACATTTCCAACCCTCACAATCAGTCCTGATGGCAATTATTCACTATACTACCACAAGAGTCTTATCCCCATTTCCTTTCACCAGATCGTCCCAAAATATTGAAAATCATTCAGTGGAGGTTCTACCTACCCCTGCCCCATCTGGAACTAGGCTCATTCTTGAAAGCATGTAAACCAGTCACTTCTTGCCTTTATAGCCCTCTCCCCCCCCCGCCCCATTTTGGGTAAACAATGTCTAAGTTGCCCATCCAGTCTACCCTGTGTACTGAGGTGGTGGGAGTGATCCTTGCTGTAAGGATTTGTTCTGATTTTTGAGCTACTACATCCATAAGTATAGGTAAAGTTCATCAAATTGTAGTAGGTTACTCTTTTTTTTTTTTCTTCCTTCTTCTTTCTTCTTCTAGTCAAGTTCTGATCATCCAGCCATTGAAGCCAGGTCAAGTTGGTACTATCTGGAAGTATGGATGTTCTTGTGCATCTCTGCTCACTTCATATCAACTGGAAGCTTAACTCTCTGCTCTAGGCCTCTGTGGCCATGTCACTACCTCTGGGCACAGGAGTACCCGGGTCTTGCTGTACTGCTGGCCATCCAGGTGTCCACCCATGTTCACAGGAGTCTATTGAATGTGGTCGAACTTAGATCCCAACTTCATTGCTGTTTTTTTTTCCCCCCATTCCCATTATCTGTGACCAATGTGGTCACCAGGCAGACCACACGCCTGCTTGTGTATTCCCCTTGAGTCTTAGTCCTGGAAGGCGTTTGCTCTGAGGGGACCTGACAACTTGCCTTGATGGCTCCCTTGTGAACAGCTTACTTGTTCTTGTAGTAATCAATTAAATTCCATATAGAGTTTGTAATTGTTTTTTCCATCTCTTTGAAGAATATCATGGAGTCTGAATTGGCATTGCATTATATGTGTCAATTGCTTTGGGAAGTAGTGACATTTTCACAATATTAAGTCTTCCTATCCAGGATCATGGTATACTTTCTTTCATTATTATATGTCTCTTTTGGTTTCTTACAGTAGTGTTTTTTAGTTTTCTTTGTATAAGTCCTTTGTTTCTCTGGTTACATTGATTCCTAGATATTTCATCCTTTGGGCAGCCATTGTAAATGGTATTGCTTTCCTAATGTCCTTTTCAGCACTGTAGTTTTTGGCATAGAGGAATACAACTGATTTTTGTATGTTGATCTTATATCCTGCCTTTCTGCTGAATCTTCCAGTGAAGTTCAGTAGCTTTTTTACTGAGCTTTAGGGGTTTTCTTCGTAGAGGATGATATTGTCTGAAATAGAGGGAGTTTTACTCCCTCTTTGCCAATTTGAATAACTTTAATTACCCTGTCTTGCCATATAGCTCCCGCTAAGACTTCCAGCACAATATTGAATTAGAGTGGTGACAAACGGGATCCTTGTCTGGTTCCTGTTTGCAGTTGGAAGTCTTTCAGTTTTTCTCCATTGGGAATAATGTACGCTGTTGGTTTTGTATATATGCTCTTAATTATGTTGAGCATATATACAACATAAACACTTTGTTGAGTGTTTTTATCAGGAATGGATGTTGGATTTTGTTAAATGCCTTTTCTGCATCAATCGATATGATCATGTGGTTCTTTTCTTTTTTTTATTTATA